ATTATAGACTACTATTTAAATAACTATAAAGAAAAGCGTGGGTGTCATCCTTAACATTAGTAAAGGTATCCAATAGATACTAAAGTGACCCACGCTTTTCTTTATAGTTATTTAAATAGTAGTCTATAATTTATTTTTTACTTTTTAGTGCATCATTACATAAAAGCTTGTTATTAAAACGTTTTTTATGAATTTTTTTTACAAGCTTTTATTTAACTCACTTCCTCGTCAGTCTGTCGTCAGTCGTCAGTCTAGACGGAAACGCAGGAGTGAAAATTCGGACAGTTCTACTTGACCGATATGATTCAAAGTTAGCACATGGGTCAAGACATGAAGACAATGCAATCTGAAACTAAATTTGATTTAATTGGATGCCTAATTAATTTTTTATGAATTAATTAAAATTTGGACCGAATTAGTAGGCATGTCTAGCCAACCACACCACACGCGTCATCACCTTCAATAGCTGCGCCATCACGTAATGGCTGCGTTCAAAAACCATTGCGCGCCTACTGAACGTGATGTTCAGTAGGCGCGCAATGGTTTTTAGTCATGTAACTCTATTGTAAATAAAACATGTAAATTACTGAAAAAAAAATTCATAAAAAACGTTTTAATAACAAGCTTTTATGTAATGATGCACTAAAAAGTAGAAAATAAATTATAGACTACTATTTAAATAACTATAAAGAAAAGCGTGGGTGTCTTCCTTAACATTAGTAAAGGTATCCAATAGATACTAAAGTGACCCACGCTTTTCTTTATAGTTATTTAAATAGTAGTCTATAATTTATTTTCTACTTTTTAGTGCATTATTACATAAAAGCTTGTTATTAAAACGTTTTTTATGAATTTTTTTTAATGCGTACAAGTATTTACAAATTCCATGCAAAAAAAACACATTTGTGACTTTTCTCCATTTACTTTTTTTCCCGTGAATTTTTTTCCTTCACGTGTTTCTGGGTGTTTTTCCTGCTTTTTTTTCGTGTGTTTTTTTTTCCAACAATCGAGTGGGGTAATAAGTAACACAGGTCGACATAGTTTCTTATGGCACAACTGCAAGAGTTCATTGCCCCACCTCCTTCCGAGAAAAATAGGGTATAGAAAGAAAATATTTGCTTTTATTAGTGTCCACCCCTTACCACCAGCCTAAAGTTTCAAGTACACCCTCTAAGCAACCTTGGTTAATGTATATGATTATTTTTAAAATAAATATTACAGGACCCTAAGCGGCCGATGTGAGCCTTTGGGGGTGGACACTGAAAATTTTGTTCACAGCAAAATCGCAACCTACCTGGGCACCGGCAGACACGCCTGATTCAATTTTGTGAGCGACTGTAACTCCGCATTTTATGCATTGTCTATCGCACTGTTTAGAACAAACGCAGGCGCTATTGCGCTCAGGGGAAAGCCCAGGGCGCCAAATCGACCCTACAGGGTTGCCCATCGTGTCTGTAGTGTATAGTCTTGTTCTAAAACGAACTTAGGCGCCATAGTGCTCGCTGAAAAGCCCGGGGCGCTTCGGGTCATGCAACCTACGTGGCGCCGGTGGTTGCGCCTGATAAAGTTTTAACGCTGAATATACTAGTATCCTTTACCCGTTATGCAGGACGCACAATTAACGGATGCCAAGTGGTAACAGCCGCTTTGGAACTCTGGGCACCAAACTGTGTATTGACGAAAATCGCACCCTCCCTGGGCCGCCCATATCATATATATATATATATATATATATATATATATATATATATATATATATATATATATATATAGATAGATAGATAGATAGGCCTATATATATATATATATATATATATATATATATATATATATATATATATAGATAGATAGATAGATAGATAGATATAAAGAGATAGAGAGAGAGAGAGAGAGAGAAAAGCCGTGCATCGAAACACGGATCGTAGATATTTCCTATCTTGACAATTCTGAGAACAATTGGCGTCGGCACACGTCACCGCCCCAAATGCACCACTTGGTACTGAAGTGATAATACCACCTTGCCACTTGTGTCAGCGCGTCTGCATCGCATACTTCACAGTGTCGTCTTTATCCTCAGTTCGCCTGCTATTTTAGTATAGGTTAAGTGGAGACGAAGTAGACTGTCGCGCAATTTAAAACGGTACGTTGAGAAATTTAAAAATATACAGCGACCTAGTTTCCAACACGGAAGCGGTATATCGGCGGCCCTGCAAAACGCAAACGAATATCCAATTATGCTAACCCATTACAGTGTTTTAACCCCAAATGAAATCTTGCTCAGAAGTATTAATTAAAGTTATAACCGAAATAAAATTTAGCATTATAATGTATTCAACTTTTAAATTAGCTTATTTGGTCAAATTTTCTAGGGAAGCCTTATTTGGGGTGGAAAATAAGGGAATAGAGCATGTTTTCGGAACTTTTGTAATTAAAGTTGTATTCCTTAAATTATTATTTATCTGAATTATCCTCTTCCTAGACGACTTCTGGATTTTTGTCATAAACGTTTTTCCAATGTGGAAAATAATGTAGCCTATTTAGTGTCCTGACATAGTATACCAAATTTCATCTCCATCGGTCAAGTATTAATTATGATATGTCATATACATATTATATTAACAAAATAAACACTTTCTTAAAATGTATAATAACTAGCCGCTATCGGCTAGGCGTTTGCCCCAGTCGTTTACAGCGAAGTCCAAATGTAAATGTTGACGCAGATGTGTGTATGTTTTAATAAAAATTAAAATTGTGTTCTTGTGTCTATGGATATGCAGAACAACACAAAGTATATTGCATGATACAACAGATTTGATAACGCTAATGATGATACTAAATAGAAATAAGGACTTCGAAAACCAGACGTCAATAATTCGCTTCTGACAATCACCACGTGAACACTTCTCGTTCTATGTAAACATCTAAAGGTTACATTGGCATACAAAAATAGGGTACCTGTAGTTCGAGCACAACACACACACACAATTAGGAGAAGATTTGTAACACACTCAGAGTTTCTTCTAGGCATCTTTCCCGGGGAGCCCCCCCCCCCCCCCCCGAAGCAAGTCTACCGCCCCCCCCCCCCCGAAAATTTCTAGTGCCCCCCCCCCCCCCCCGGAGAAAAAGGTCTGTAAGAAACACTGAACACACTACATACTGCTACCCTCAAACACTAAAAGCTTTTTTTTTAAATTAACAAATTTACTTTCACTACGCAAACATAAAATATCGAAAAAGTACCATAACAGAGTATACAGATTTTTACACCTTAATAGCAAAAATCTGCAAAGCGTAACATTAACGTAAACTTAAAAGAAATTTAAAATATAAGACATTGTTTCAGACCACTGTACACACATCATACTCTATATATACTATACAAATATAATCTATCATAACGTATTTAAATATCAAATAATATTCACAAAATGGTTAATAATATTAATACCTAACTTAAAGTAAGCATATAAAAAAATTAACCTTATTTTTATGCTAAATGTGATATGTTTTACCTATATTAAAAATATTCTAAAACTTTAATAACATTTAATAGCCTTGTTTTTAACTGAATCCTGTAACCCTTTATTTACGGAATTAAGTTCAAAATGAAATTTTGGCTTAAACAATGTATTATTATATTTCCTTTTGGCACACTTAAAGCATTTGAAGAAAATTTGCTTTCTTTAAATGTTAATGGCCCAAAAATGTATTGGTACGTATAAGTACCCTCAGGAATGCAGAATATTTTTTCCAAAAAAAAATTAACAAAATAGGAATAAACTGTAAAATGTGTTAGCTAATAACATGGCAATCATCATGACAAGCATTTAAAAAAAAATCACCAAACATAAACACAAGACAAAAGTATTTTTTGAGAACTATTTTTAATTGATTTTCTATGGGAACAGTCTACTTTTTAGTGAATTATTATATAAAAGCTTGTTATTAAATAGTTTTTTATAGATTTATTTTTCAAAATTTTATTTAACTTACTTTTTCTGTCTGTCGTCCGTCTAGATCGAATTGGCCGTGCGTAATTTCGGGTACTTCTAACTGACGGTTTAAAGTCGGAAGGTGTGTCAAGACACAAAAATATACAATCTGACATTAAATTTTAATTTATTGGATGCCTAACTAATTGTTTTACGAATTAACCAAATTAGTAGGCAGTCTTACCCAACTATGTCACACTATTATACGCCCGTTATTACATTCATTAAGTGCGCAATGGTTTTTAGTCATGCAACTGTATTTTAAACTTTTAAAATTTTTAATTCACTAAATTTTTTTTTTCATAAAAACCGTTTTAATAACAAGCTTTTATGTAATAATGCACTAAAGAGTAGAAAATAAATTATTCACTACTATTTAAATAACCAAAAAGAAAATTAAATATTAGTAAAGTTATCCAATAGATAATAAAGGGATACATGACTTTCTTAATTCTTAATTAAATAGTAGTATTTAATTTATTTTCTAATTTTTAGTGCATTATTACATAAAGGCTTGTTATTAAAACATTTTTTAAATATTTTTTTTTAAATTGTTGTTCTAATTTATGACGGTTGTCACAAGTATTCGTTTAACCATCGATCTAATACCAAGACAATTTGATTAAAATTTTATAAGTGGAAGTTACCCATGACAATATTTGGCCTTGAAAACATGTAATAATAAGGTAAATTTAAAGACAATTAAGAACACGTACAGCACGATTGTAAACTACTAATACAGGAAGAGATTAAAACAAAAGCGCCGCACCGAAAATTTGCAACTAACATCAAACCCTTCACCTACTGGTGACTCAGGACATATATTACTATTAATTATATTAAAAATCATTTTAAATTAAACATAATATAGGCGCTTAATTAAAGTGGTACTCATAATTACTGACAGTAGGTAAAGGGTTACTGCACGTTGTCATAAAATCTATTTCATATTGTCTTAAGTTGATCCTGTTCCACATCCGGTTTAAGGGATTAAATAGCGAAACGCATTGATAACTAACGGACTTTCGGCTTGAATCAGTTGTTGTACTGTGCTAGTGTTGAGAACACAATTTCAAATGTTGTTTGGCTCGTTCAAATAGAAGTAAGATATTTTTTTAAAATCTTAAAGTTAGTAAAATAATAACACTATTTTTATTGAATGCTAGAACTGTATTCACATTTTAGTAAACATAAAGCATAATTCTTGGCAGATACATTTTCCATTAACATTAAAAATCATAAAGAATAATGCTAATGTAGCATCATTTTTCAGATCGTGCAGTCTTCCATTGCTTGAATTTTACCCACCTTTTTAATTGCTCATGTTTGCTAATCAATATGAAACTTTGAATATAGCTACCTCTGTAAAGACAACATCATTCTAATAGGTGAACTGTATACGAGTGGCATAGAAGCTCAATACTACAAGGTCAAGCATGCTATTCTTCATTTATTTGATGTTTTGCCAATGGATCACGACCACTTATCAAACGGAAACAAGTAAATACAATTACAGCATTACATATATAAGAAACGTATATATATATATATATATATATATATATATATATATATATATATATATATATATATATATATATATATAGATATAGATATATATATACATACATACATATATATATATATATATATATATATATATATATATATATAATATTTTTTACCGTTATGATAATTATGTTAGGGCTTATAAATATAAAAGATGAATTTTAAGATTAGTCGATACTGTATTTTATAATTGTTTTTAATTATTTCTATGATTTCTTAAAAATCACATTAACTGTTGGGATGTTATTTAATTGGGTGGTTAAATTAGAGAATGTGGGAAGGCTGTCTCTGGTTGCGAAACTAATGGGAAATGTAATTTGATAACGTGTTTGCGTTTGCGTTTTAACTTGAGTTTACGAATGCTTTTAATTGCGTTAGTGTTTTCTTTTGTGTTTGAATTCGTGTTTGCATTTTCGTGTTTCCATTGCGTTTGTATTTTTGTTTGCTTTTGCTTTTGTATTAACTTTTGTGTTAGCATTTATGTTTGTGATTGAGTTTGCGTATGTGTTGTGTTTGCATATTTGTTTTATATTGTGTTTTTATGTGTATTAGCGTTTGTGTTTCCGTGTTGCCTTGTATTTGTGTTAGAGTATTTGCTGGCATTTTTTTCTGTTTCCAAGTTAATACGTTAAAAATGTATGTATATATATATATATATATATATATATATATATATATATATATATATATATATATATATATATATATATATATATATATATATATATATATATGTGTGTGTGTGTGTATAATTTTAAATGGTGCACAGTAAAGATGTTCATCTATTGTCAGTTATAGGTGGATATATAGGTGGAATAACGCTAATTAATCATTAATTGAAATGGCAAAAAGCATATTTCGTCTATATATTGCATCTTTTTGCCATGGTGTCACCCATTAAATGGTGTCACCCTATGCGGTCCACACACCCCGCCCCCATGGGTAGACTTAAGGTTCATTTTTAGAGGCTTATGTTTAGATTTAGGTTTAAATTGATATTATATTCATTGGTTTTGGTTCAGAGAAGAAAAAAAAGAAAAAAATATCAGTGTAGCGATCGTTGTATTTCTCCTTCATGGGCTATATGTCTATTAAACACTTTATTTACATTAACGTATGTAAATAAGTATAGGCCATCACAGTGGCGTGGCCAGGATCGTCTCAAGGGGGGGGGGTCCAATTTTTACCCGAGGACAAACTTTCGATTTGCACCCCCCCCCCCCTCAAACTTTCGATTTGCACCCCCCTGATACTTGTTATATATATATACCGAGGGGTCTATGGGGGGGTTTATGACCCCCCTAACCCCCCCCCCCCCCTGCCTACGCCACTGGGCCTTCACAACGGGAAATCTGGCTGAGAGATAGAATGCTCTGTTTCTAGCGCGTAGATCTGGAGTGCCTGATCGCTGTTACGATGTTGCTGTACGGCATTCGAAAAAACACCAGCTCTGACACCAGACTGACTCATGCTACGAAAAGTAGAGGCGTCTTGGTGTATTTTTAACCACAACATAATTTCCTATGCCGTGATCAAGAAAAATGTAGATCTAATTCATCTGCTCTATGAATTATTCCTTCTGAAAGATAACATTTACTTTATAGGCCTTCAAACATTAATGTATATGTAATTTATTCATTATGTAGATTCAACATATTTAACATACGCATCATCTTCACGAATAGTAACAATATCATCAAATATATTGTTGTTTATTTTTATTTTACTGATGATAACTGTTTATTTTCAGAATGCCCAGGGTCAGATTGGATACATTATGCTGGAAATTGCTACAACCTACAACAGACCGCTTCAAAAACTTGGCAAGAAGCACAAACATTTTGTTCTCATTTTAACGCCAACCTCGTCAGTCTCACTTCGCAAGAGGAAATCGATTTCTTAAATAAACAAGTAATTGAGTTTTGGTTTCTCGTTAATTTATTTTACACTTCGTAGCCTAATCATTGTTTTGCACTATTATTCATGAATGTAAAAAATGCTTTTGTAATAATATATTTGTACAATTTGTTTCAGGGCATAACATATGTCTGGATCGGTTTATATAAAACTGGGACGAACGATGCATGGAAGTATATTGCATTTTTTAAAATCCTCTTTAACAAATATTAAAGATTTTTTAATACAATTTAATTTTGAAAATATTTTAAAATATGTAACTTAAAAGACTAAGCCTTGCTGTGTGTACATGGTGATGTTTTAGTGTACATTGCAACTATACCACTGTTGTATTTTTGTGTATGTCGCTTCAGATGGGTTGATAAGTCAGACGTGAATCTCATTCTATGGGACGTTGGACAGCCTGGAAGAATTGGAGAAGATTGTGGAGTGGCTCACTCTTTTGGTAGAGTATTTTATTCAACCGAACTTTCAATCAATCAATCAACTGATCAATCAAAATATCAATCAATCTATTTATTAATCAATCAATCAATCAATCAATCAATCAATCAATCAATCAATCAATCAATCAATCAATCAATCAATCAATCAATCAATCAATCAATCAATCAATCAATCAATCAATCAATCAATCAATCAATCAATCAATCTATCAATCTATCAATCTATCAATCTATCAATCTATCAATCTATCAATCTATCAATCTATCAATCTATCAATCTATCAATCTATCAATCTATCAATCTATCAATCTATCAATCTATCAATCTATCAATCTATCAATCTATCAATCTATCAATCTATCAATCTATCAATCTATCAATCTATCAATCTATCAATCTATCAATCTATCAATCTATCAATCTATCAATCTATCAATCTATCAATCTATCAATCTATCAATCTATCAATCTATCAATCTATCAATCTATCAATCTATCAATCTATCAATCTATCAATCTATCAATCTATCAATCTATCAATCTATCAATCTATCAATCTATCAATCTATCAATCTATCAATCTATCAATCTATCAATCTATCAATCTATCAATCTATCAATCTATCAATCTATCAATCTATCAATCTATCAATCTATCAATCTATCAATCTATCAATCTATCAATCTATCAATCTATCAATCTATCAATCTATCAATCTATCAATCTATCAATCTATCAATCTATCAATCTATCAATCTATCAATCTATCAATCTATCAATCTATCAATCTATCAATCTATCAATCTATCAATCTATCAATCTATCAATCTATCAATCTATCAATCTATCAATCTATCAATCTATCAATCTATCAATCTATCAATCTATCAATCTATCAATCTATCAATCTATCAATCTATCAATCTATCAATCTATCAATCTATCAATCTATCAATCTATCAATCTATCAATCTATCAATCTATCAATCTATCAATCTATCAATCTATCAATCTATCAATCTATCAATCTATCAATCTATCAATCTATCAATCTATCAATCTATCAATCTATCAATCTATCAATCTATCAATCTATCAATCTATCAATCTATCAATCTATCAATCTATCAATCTATCAATCTATCAATCTATCAATCTATCAATCTATCAATCTATCAATCTATCAATCTATCAATCTATCAATCTATCAATCTATCAATCTATCAATCTATCAATCTATCAATCTATCAATCTATCAATCTATCGATCTATCGATCTATCGATCTATCAATCTATCAATCTATCAATCTATCAATCTATCAATCTATCAATCTATCAATCTATCAATCTATCAATCTATCAATCTATCAATCTATCAATCTATCAATCTATCAATCTATCAATCTATCAATCTATCAATCTATCAATCTATCAATCTATCAATCTATCAATCTATCAATCTATCAATCTATCAATCTATCAATCTATCAATCTATCAATCTATCAATCTATCAATCTATCAATCTATCAATCTATCAATCTATCAATCTATCAATCTATCAATCTATCAATCTATCAATCTATCAATCTATCAATCTATCAATCTATCAATCTATCAATCTATCAATCTATCAATCTATCAATCTATCGATCTATCGATCTATCGATCTATCAATCTATCAATCTATCAATCTATCAATCTATCAATCTATCAATCTATCAATCTATCAATCTATCAATCTATCAATCTATCAATCTATCAATCTATCAATCTATCAATCTATCAATCTATCAATCTATCAATCTATCAATCTATCAATCTATCAATCTATCAATCTATCAATCTATCAATCTATCAATCTATCAATCTATCAATCTATCAATCTATCAATCTATCAATCTATCAATCTATCAATCTATCAATCTATCAATCTATCAATCTATCAATCTATCAATCTATCAATCTATCAATCTATCAATCTATCAATCTATCAATCTATCAATCTATCAATCTATCAATCTATCAATCTATCAATCTATCAATCTATCAATCTATCAATCTATCAATCTATCAATCTATCAATCTATCAATCTATCGATCTATCAATCTATCAATCTATCAATCTATCAATCTATCAATCTATCAATCTATCAATCTATCAATCTATCAATCTATCAATCTATCAATCTATCAATCTATCAATCTATCAATCTATCAATCTATCAATCTATCAATCTATCAATCTATCAATCTATCAATCTATCAATCTATCAATCTATCAATCTATCAATCTATCAATCTATCAATCTATCAATCTATCAATCTATCAATCTATCAATCTATCAATCTATCAATCTATCAATCTATCAATCTATCAATCTATCAATCTATCAATCTATCAATCTATCAATCTATCAATCTATCAATCTATCAATCTATCAATCTATCAATCTATCAATCTATCAATCTATCAATCTATCAATCTATCAATCTATCAATCTATCAATCTATCAATCTATCAATCTATCAATCTATCAATCTATCAATCTATCAATCTATCGATCTATCAATCTATCAATCTATCAATCTATCAATCTATCAATCTATCAATCTATCAATCTATCTATCAATCTATCAATCTATCAATCTATCAATCTATCAATCAATCTATCAATCTATCAATCTATCAATCTATCAATCTATCAATCTATCAATCTATCAATCTATCAATCTATCAATCTATCAATCTATCAATCTATCAATCTATCAATCTATCAATCTATCAATCTATCAATCTATCAATCTATCAATCTATCAATCTATCAATCTATCAATCTATCAATCTATCAATCTATCAATCTATCAATCTATCAATCTATCAATCTATCAATCTATCAATCTATCAATCTATCAATCTATCAATCTATCAATCTATCAATCTATCAATCTATCAATCTATCAATCTATCAATCTATCAATCTATCAATCTATCAATCTATCAATCTATCAATCTATCAATCTATCAATCTATCAATCTATCAATCTATCAATCTATCAATCTATCAATCTATCAATCTATCAATCTATCAATCTATCAATCTATCAATCTATCAATCTATCAATCTATCAATCTATCAATCTATCAATCTATCAATCTATCAATCTATCAATCTATCAATCTATCAATCTATCAATCTATCAATCTATCAATCTATCAATCTATCAATCTATCAATCTATCAATCTATCAATCTATCAATCTATCAATCTATCAATCTATCAATCTATCAATCTATCAATCTATCAATCTATCAATCTATCAATCTATCAATCTATCAATCTATCAATCTATCAATCTATCAATCTATCAATCTATCAATCTATCAATCTATCAATCTATCAATCTATCAATCTATCAATCTATCAATCTATCAATCTATCAATCTATCAATCTATCAATCTATCAATCTATCAATCTATCAATCTATCAATCTATCAATCTATCAATCTATCAATCTATCAATCTATCAATCTATCAATCTATCAATCTATCAATCTATCAATCTATCAATCTATCAATCTATCAATCTATCAATCTATCAATCTATCAATCTATCAATCTATCAATCTATCAATCTATCAATCTATCAATCTATCAATCTATCAATCTATCAATCTATCAATCTATCAATCTATCAATCTATCAATCTATCAATCTATCAATCTATCAATCTATCAATCTATCAATCTATCAATCTATCAATCTATCAATCTATCAATCTATCAATCTATCAATCTATCAATCTATCAATCTATCAATCTATCAATCTATCAATCTATCAATCTATCAATCTATCAATCTATCAATCTATCAATCTATCAATCTATCAATCTATCAATCTATCAATCTATCAATCTATCAATCTATCAATCTATCAATCTATCAATCTATCAATCTATCAATCTATCAATCTATCAATCTATCAATCTATCAATCTATCAATCTATCAATCTATCAATCTATCAATCTATCAATCTATCAATCTATCAATCTATCAATCTATCAATCTATCAATCTATCAATCTATCAATCTATCAATCTATCAATCTATCAATCTATCAATCTATCAATCTATCAATCTATCAATCTATCAATCTATCAATCTATCAATCTATCAATCTATCAATCTATCAATCTATCAATCTATCAATCTATCAATCTATCAATCTATCAATCTATCAATCTATCAATCTATCAATCTATCAATCTATCAATCTATCAATCTATCAATCTATCAATCTATCAATCTATCAATCTATCAATCTATCAATCTATCAATCTATCAATCTATCAATCTATCAATCTATCAATCTATCAATCTATCAATCTATCAATCTATCAATCTATCAATCTATCAATCTATCAATCTATCAATCTATCAATCTATCAATCTATCAATCTATCAATCTATCAATCTATCAATCTATCAATCTATCAATCTATCAATCTATCAATCTATCAATCTATCAATCTATCAATCTATCAATCTATCAATCTATCAATCTATCAATCTATCAATCTATCAATCTATCAATCTATCAATCTATCAATCTATCAATCTATCAATCTATCAATCTATCAATCTATCAATCTATCAATCTATCAATCTATCAATCTATCAATCTATCAATCTATCAATCTATCAATCTATCAATCTATCAATCTATCAATCTATCAATCTATCAATCTATCAATCTATCAATCTATCAATCTATCAATCTATCAATCTATCAATCTATCAATCTATCAATCTATCAATCTATCAATCTATCAATCTATCAATCTATCAATCTATCAATCTATCAATCTATCAATCTATCAATCTATCAATCTATCAATCTATCAATCTATCAATCTATCAATCTATCAATCTATCAATCTATCAATCTATCAATCTATCAATCTATCAATCTATCAATCTATCAATCTATCAATCTATCA